GATATCAAAATCTATGGAATATGGGACTGTAAAGTTTGCATGCCTGGAAGAAGCTACGGAGCATCCTTTGAAACCAGTTGTAATCACTGTAAGAAATAGCTGTTACTGTATCATTTTATAAATAGATCTTCGCGTTATTTGTACTTTTTATACTCAGCAACTTCGCTTTTTCTCTCTTTAATATCAGAATATGTATTTATCTCATTTTAAGTACAAACATTTCTGGAGATTTCAAGCAACACGAACAGACCTAATGTTTCAATTTATATCTCGTATTCTATCTTGTATAAACAATAAATTTTGATAAAAGATTTTTTTTACTCTTGTATAGCTAATCGATGGACGTAGCGCAGCTAGACGAAGTGCGTTGCGGAGTACAAGTACCAGTTCCTCCACTGGAACGCCTACACCAACGCACGCACCGATTCCTGCAAATCCACTGAGTGATCCATTGTTGAGTCATCCTTCCCTAGACGGTTCTGATCCTCTTACACAATTTGCTCGAGAAGAATTGGATCCTCTCTCTAAAATGGCTGCAGACGAAGTAATATATTTATTTAGATTTAATTATGTTTTTATCATTTTTACTTAACTTAAGTTTATATTATCTGCGTCATATAGTGGGATTATTCTAATATTACACCTGCGGATAAAAAATCAAAGGACACAGCAGAGGAATTGGTAGAACCATGGTCTGTTAGACGTTCCGCTATACTGAGTAAATATACCACCTCTGAAAAATTATCGATTGTCACCAGTTTCTTACCAGGTGGTGAAAAAGGTACCTTTTTAAAAAGATTATTAATTAATTTAATTTATGAACGAATATTAAAATATAATATTTTATTCATTTTAAATTGCTTATTAATTAATAACTTTTTAAATTGCTGCAATGTTGCTTTGTCACAGTTGTAGTGAAAGTTCAGCCGAGTGGGCCAATGGTCGACAAGGTAAAAACGCGACTTGAACAATTAGACGATTTTGAGGAAGGTTCTGTTCGGCAAATGTTGGACTTGTCGCAACAACAATACACTGCACGAATCGAACAATTAAACAACGAACTAGTACAAGCGTGGCATTCCGACCAAAGAGTAAAGGCGCTCAAAATTGCAATACAGGTTTTGACACATTTATTAGCTTTTATGAGAACTCAGAACAAAAGAACTTACGATTTAGGAATTAATGTTAAATTATTTCAGTGTGCCAAATTATTAGTAGATACGTCTGTAATGGCTTTTTATCCGAGCAAGTTTGTTCTCATCACAGATATTTTGGATATCTTTGGAAAACTTGTGTATGAGAGATTGAAAATGAAGGCTGAGTATTACAAGTAATTATTATATACGAAAGCTCTTATTTTTTAATTGCATGTATTTTATGTTTTTTTTTTATCGAGCAGTTACAAACGTTATTTATAGTTATTGATATTAATACTTTTTTTTTAGACCAGGAAGTAAAGTACCTACGAGTTTGCCCGATAATTTTACACCCGACATGGTTCCTGAGAACGCGAAGGAGACGTGTCGGAATTGGTTTTACAAGATAGCTTCAATACGGGAACTAGTACCGCGTCTTTATGTAGAAATGGCAATAATAAAATCTTACAGTTTTTTAACGACTAGGTACGACTTTCGTCATTATATAGATATTCGTAATGTTGTAACAACATGATGATTGAAATATTAAAGTAATACTTTTATTTTAGTGAATTTAATACTGCTCTGTTACGTATAACTCGTATGATAAGGGGTATCGGAAATCCATTGATAGCAGTTTATGCAAGATGTTATTTATGTCGTGTGGGATTGGCGTTGAACAAAACATCAGACTTCGAATTTGTGAGGGAAAATCTATATGACTTTCTTTTTACGTACCAGCAGCTATTTGGGACTGCTGTGAAAAATGAAATAGTGAAGCAAAATGTTACTCTTCATTCGTATCTTAATTTATATTCGCCAGCTTTGGATTGGATCGTACAGGTTTTAGTGGCGACATCGCCTGAGAGCCTTTTCGAAGAGGTTTTATCTCGTTGTAAAAAACAAGAGAACGGGTAAATATATTTTAAACGTGTTATTTTTAATTTATCTTTAATTTTTAACTTTTATCTAATCGAGTGTATATGTTTTCAGATCGTTATTATTAAATACAGTGTTGACTGCATTTAAACCTACTTATATTGCTGCACGTGCTATGGATTTTGTGAATTTAATAGTAGCGAGTGAAGACGATGGTATTGAAATTTAAAAAAATGAAATCGAGAATATAGTAACACTTTTAAATTACGTTTTCTCTTTTTAATGTAATAGGATATCCTCAATATCTCTTATATCGAAGTTTGGGAGAATGCCTTGTACGAGAATCTCCGCCGAAAGAAGACTGTCAATCAGTGCTTAACGTAATATGGAAGTACATAACGGATCTCACAGATCCCAACAAATTCATGCATTGCGTCGAGATTTGGATTCAGTTCACTGTTATACACTTTTCTGTAAGTTATATTCGCACAAATAATATTTAATTATACTTTATGTGAAATTAAATTATTGTACATATATGTTTATAGGTAATTGAATTAAATTTATTTTTCGGCAAAATAATAGATCGGCTGCGACCAAACAAAGCTTTCGAAAATTATTATTCACAATTGCAGAATATTATTGAGAAGATAGTTGCCCACACACAAGATTTTGAATCACTGCTTGCTATGGTAACTATCCGCGCTATTATAAACGCACATATTATTCATATTTATTCATGTAATTTTAAGACACTCGATCTGTTATAAATTATTTAACGTTTTGTAGGACAATTTTTTACCTCTGATTGATTTGTTTCACAAGGAAAGTGTTAAGGTAGAAGTTTGTAAAACTGTCATAGAAGGATTGAGTGTGCAAAACGGACCTATTACGGATCCTATTATTATAAACGCTCTGATGTTTATTGCGAGAATAATGCACGATTCCGTTAGGTACATCAATTTAATTTCACGATTAAAGTTTATCCTACTCTCTAAAATCAAACAAATCATTGCAGTGCTCTGACCGTTGAAGATGAGAAACGACAGATCGGACAACTAATATGCGGACTAGTGCAACGAGTAGATTATGGTCGCGATTTTGAGAAGCAGCTTAGTTTTTACGTAGAGGCCAGGGCAGCATTTCCTAATCTTGATAGCGTTCATATACAACTTGTACAAGTATGTGATACATATATGTTCTATTTGATAATACATAAATGATTCTTTCTTTTATACTGTTGATATATAAAGAAAAAAGGTTCAGCGGCAATAAAGTTTCTTTTTATTTACGCTCAGTGCGTGAATAGATTATCAGTTGATACTAGAAAGATAGTACGTGGTCATCACACAAGAAGAACGTCGGCGTTTGTACGTGCCTGTGCTGCATTCTGTTTCATTACTATACCATCGTTAACTCTAGTCCATACACGCCTTCAATTATATCTACTGTCCGGACAGGTTGCCCTTTTAAATCAATGTTTAGGCCAAGGTGCGAATCGAATTAATTTTTATTTTAACATTAACATATTTTTTATTTTTTTCGTTAATTTATATGCGTAATTTGGCATTTTCAGCCGATGCTTGTTTTAAAGCTGCTTTGAGTTTAGTTCCGGAAATGCCGAAAACCATCGATATCGATGGAAGACAGAAAAGTTCGCAGCCGTATTTGCTCTCATACTTATCGAATTTTTTGTCAACATTGTTAGTAGTTCCCGTAAGTATATTGATATACGTTATGTTTTTAATTTTATGATTTTAAGATTGTTCTGTATTAGGATAGCCCAGAGCATGGCGTCCTGTATTTGATGAGAGGCTTGCTCAATGCAGTTCAACGTTACTTTGAGGAGAATACCTCAACCAAACCATATTTATATTTACGTGTACTCGATCTTCTTTCAACGGTAGCGCAGGAAAATTATCCGTACCATATCGATAAGGTATTTTATGCTTTTGCGCACATTTGAAGGGGCAAATAAATAGCTGCCATATTTTCAATACTTTAAAATTAGAAAAATTAATTATAATCTCTAATATTTATGTCACATAATGGCATTTCAGATTGACTCAAATGATAAATTGTATGGATCGGATCAGAAATTTATCGGTGAAGTCAATAAAATATGTTCAAAAATCGTTGAGGAAATCTTAGGCCATCTCAAGTATCTTGGATCCAGCGAGCAATTCGATAAACAATCAGCTTTGGCACTCGAGCTGTTTAATTGTTTTATTATTCGTGCAGATTTACGAGACACTGTATTAGCAAACATGGCTGTAAATTTGTGGCACTTATCACAACGACACGGTTCGGTGGATTCTAAAGTGACGGTAAATATGTATTTGGAGTAATCAAGATTTAGATTTTTTAATACATTGTTTTGCTTTTAAAATCTTTATTTTGGATATCCTTTTCAGATGAGAACAAAAGCTTACATGACACAGAAGAGTCATCATCGAGAATATGAACATTTTGCTGAAATACTGAAGAAAATGTCGAGATGAGTGACATTGAGACTTGATAACAATAAGGATCTAGCTTAAACATTTTTTATTGGCAGTTATTTTGGAAGACATTTTGCATAATTGTGCAATAATAATTTATCTGATTATGTCAATGAAGCCAAAATTAACAAATAATACCAAAAATATAAAAAGATAATAAAAGAAAGATAAAACAGAATATAAATCATAATAATTAATTGTTAAAAGTTAATATATAATATTATTAGTTAATATACATCATACAATATACACAAAAGTATTGTATAATACATATTACGTATAGTTGTGTATTGTATATTACAAGTTAGTATACAATATACAATTGATTGTTAAGCATCATTTTATACTATATTTTTTCAAATATAGCAAATGCTGCTCAATATATGAAATGTATAAATAATCGATGTAGAGAGAATTTCTACTCAATAAAAACATTATTGTTCTAAATTTGTTAAAGAATACATTTGTATCATAACTTTTTTTGAATATTTTCTAGTCCATATCGAATCATTCATATACTTACAGCTTACGAGACAATCAAGTATTGTATATTACATCATTTAGTTTATCATACTGCATTGTCATTAATTCACCACTTATCATAAACTCTTCGTAACGTATCCTCATAATATAACTGCCATAGAAAAATAATGATTATTTATAGACTTCATAAATCACACGTGATATATCTTCACGAATACTTCAATATGGAAGACATCTGATTTGGGAGATATAAGATATTGTTCAAGATGATTTTTATTTTTTTAAAACAGAGCGAAGCGCATCCAGAAATATATCGGCATGATGCTCTGTGAAGGTCAACGCAGGCCTCAACCGCACGGCCTGGCTGCCGCATCCACCTGTCTGAATACCTAATAAGAACAGAGGAAAATGTGAAAACATTAAAGATATTCTTAGCATTCACATTTTACGCTGCAACATTACCTTACCTTTCATTGCAAGTTTCTTGATGATGCTATCTCGCGCTTCAGGCGAGGGGCAATTAAACGCTATGAAAGTCCCACGTCCGCGCACTGCATTGATTACATTGGAATGTTCCTTTTGCATATCCATCAAATGTTTTAACAGATAATTGCCCACGCGCATAACTCTATCCAAAAGATTCTCCTTTTTAATCGTCTTTATAATCGTCTCGAGCAGGATCACTTTGCTGGGATCGCCCATCCAAGTATTGAACACACGATATGACAGTTTCGGTCTGCGTGCAGGTAATTATACGTTAATACTTAAAACATGATTTTCTATTATTTTATCATTGAAAAAAAAAAAGATTTACTTCAAATCCTCCGTATGATAATAACCTCCTAATTGCATTTTCTTGCTGAAAGTCATTACGTCGGGTGGAGTATCTAAATTAAAGTGCTCGTGGCACCACATTTTTCCCGTTGGTCCGCCACCGGTTTGCACTTCGTCGATAAGTAACGCGGCTCCGTACTGAAATATTTTAACGTGAGATTGCAAATCTTCTAATAACGTAAGATAATTGCCTTGCGAGCTATGCCTTACCTTTCGTGTCACGCGTTGAAGTTCCTGAAAGAATTCTGGGGATGCATGATTGTCGCCGCCTTCTGCTTGAATAGGTTCAATTATCACGCCAGCCACTGGTACTTTCTTTTCGTTTTTGTACTTCTCAAATAATTCCTCGATCTAAAATATTAAGATTTTTTAATCTTCTCATACGGAACGTTTAAAGAAGTATTTAACACTAGAAATACCGAATAATCATTATTGATCATTTCTATTTTTTAAATTAATATTATATTTTTTTGTGTAAAAGACAGGAAGTCCTAAGATGACTTTTGAGTAATTATGTCTTTTATGATAATGAAACACTTTTCCATCACTTTCTTAATTTACTTATTAATTTATTTGCTTGATCCTTTTAATGAGTGAGAAATATTGATTCTTCCGGTGTCAATGATATACCTCTGCGAGGCAACGCTGATCTTCCTGTTTGTTTTCTCGCACGTTTTCTTCTAAAGGATATTTGTACTCTGGAAAGGAGGCGACAGGCCAGTCGAAAGCTGGTATATCCATCTTGTGAATGTACTTGCTGTGAGTCGTTGAGAGACAACCTAAGGTTCTTCCATGAAAGCTACCTATCGATATTAAATATTTCATAAAGATTCCTGATTGGAATGAAACTTGTTTTCACTCGAACAAATGACTGACCTTTAAAGGACATGATAGAGTATCGCGGTGAGCCAGGGATTTGGTTCATCATACACGATTCTATCTCTTCCTTCGTGAACGGTTTGCCTTGCCTTTGTTTCTCGGCGTACCAGATAAAAATGTTTTTAAAAGCATTCTCATTAGAACAAGAACCGCACATCATTGTCGTAATGTGTGATAATCCCGGTGGTGCTAACTGTCCAAAATAATAATTCTTTTCAATTGCGCCAAGATAAAAGACGATATAGGAAATGAATTATAATTTCAGCATATATCTGTTACCTCTTTCTGAAGTAGAACATCTCTTAATCTATTAGGCCAGTCTTTTCCCGGAAAGACACCTAAAGCAGGTCTATTCGCTATAATTTTCTGAAAAGAGTCATCATAATCTAACTATTTTTCATGCAACTTGACAACTTTCATGCACTGTTTTCATAAAGCAAAATAATTTATATGAAGGTACATCAAGAATATCCGATTATATATTAGAATTTCTTTTCAATACTGTATACTTAAAATATAAGTGATATATCTTGTAGAAGAAGTTAGCACGCAAATTCCATACATGAAAAAGAAATACGGTACTCTACGACGGTGTGTGCTTTTATATTACTCACTTGATTAACGGGATCAGCGAGAACCTCCAGCATCGCCGGATGATTATACCCTAGAGGCATTGATGAGATTTGCATATAAACGTCCAGCAAGACATTCCCGTCAACGTCAATTATGTAATTACCGGCGGATTTTTCATAGTCTGCGAAGAATTGTACGGAAGACGCTTGCTGAAGTCACAGATTTCAACATTGTAAACCCATTTCGTCTCTGGTTTACAAAATATTTACAAAAAAGATTTGGCATTATTACTCATATCTTATGTGTAAGTCTATATATATAACAATGTTATATGACAACAGTACAACTACATAGCTTAAATTATTGGATTGACATTCGTAGGCGAAGCGTTCAAAATATCGTCGCGTATAGTAAGCGACTAAATTGATAAGTTAAATAAAATGTCGTGCCATGATGTCACCCAAAGAATCAAGAGGGCCCGACGTACTTGTATCGAACTTAATTCTTGTAGCAAGCTGCGCGATCGAGGGCCCGGTATTTCGGTTGTAAGTACTGGCCCTTCAGGTTCCCTCGGCACCGAACCGGTTAAGCATCTCTTCCACGTAGTAACGCCTGCACGACAATATTACACTCATATTTAAACAAGTATTTCTACGTGCAAATTTCTACATTTTATTTAAATATACAGGCTGTCCCGAAATTCAGAAAATCAAAATATCACGGCAGGAAAATTCTAAAAAACAAATTTAAAGGTATTATTAAAACGCCTTACATTCTTTTGTATGCCATAGACTTTAGTTATCGCGCGTGGCGACTCAGGCGAGACAAGCAGCCGTAATATTTAATTGATTTATGATTTAAAAAAAAAAATCTTTACACATCTCAAAAACTACTGCTCGAAAAATGGTAAATAATTTATACTTTGGAAACTTTCTTACTGTGAATTTTGATTCACGAATTTGGGGACATCCTCTGTATATTTCCTTTATAAAAAAATACATATACGTGTGTATTACACACATAAATTTTTGTGCGCTTTTAAATTTTACTGACATATATCCACACCAGAAGCAGAAAAACAACTTAACTGGCTAAATTGTTCTACAACTCTGATGATCAGTTCTATTGACGGTAGTTAAGGATGATTGCTTGATACATTAGTGTGATTTTATGTATTTGAACCCCTCGTAAATCACTATGTTGCAATGATGTGGGATAAAAGCCGCAAACGCACAAAAGTGAATGAATAAAGAAAACAGAGATTGTAACAAGGAGACTGTGTTAAAAACAATTTGTATCTAGACTGATTGAAATCACGATTAAAAGATAAAGTTCTCATTTAATGATATATAATATATCTGATTATAAGATATGTATGATAAATTTTTGTGTGATTTTGATTGAAATAACATGTTTTGAAAGACTTCTCTTTTAGATATCAGATCGTCTGTTTGATACCTGAGACATTCTGTATCACGAGATAGAATTTAATTCAATACAAATATGTGAAGTAACACAAAATTGACAAGAGTGACAATTCTTGTTTCTTGCGTTATTCCAAACAATTTTCTACTTTTTTAAACCGAGTTGTTTCTAAAATTAAAAGAGATTACAACGAATGTCCTCTTTGGATTGTGTATATCTCGTTGACACTTTATATTTATATTTAGTTTATTTTATCACACTGAAAAAATTCAAAATGATCTAAAATATTTAGCAACCGTAATACTAATTCATATTAACACTATTTATACATATTAACATGATTTTATTGTCCGTTTTATCATCAAGATTCAAAAATATTTGTCGTTAACACAAAGCTGTGTTTTTTACAGAATCGATTTAAAATTAGCATTATAACATTCAACATTATGACAAAAATAAACATACCTTTTTCCTGCTATTTAAGATTTTGAATAAGATTGACTTAATTAACCTTTTAAATCAAATTGAATTAATTAAATTTAACAGAAGGTATTAATATTCTTTAATAAAGATATATACAGCGTTAAAAGTATCTATCGAAAATACATTGTGAGAAAGTCAATATATTAATTTCTATTTTAATATTATTCGCTACTTTTTTGCTTTCTGCGATCGCTGCTCTGTGTAGGGATTTAAGGTTTCGCGGGGCGGCGAAGCAACTGGAGCCGGAATGAATTTATCGATTTTGTCACGGTCCACGCAGCATCCGATAGAGCGGCATGCTCCAGGATAGATTCTCGTCGCCCATTATGTGAATTACACGAATCCGAAGAGGAATGAAGCAGTATAAATACCGTTTAGCAGCTGTCGGAGCGAAGTCCGCCCACTCAACGTACGATGATACTTGTTAAGGAGCATTTCCGTTTGAGACGAGAGTACAGATACAAGGGCTACTCAGCAACGTTGTCTCTGCCGAAGGGATGGAGCCGTACTGGTCGCTGATACGCGCTGATAGTGTTCACCCAGTTTAAAGAGTCGAGAGTCTCGTGGGGGCGCGAGTTGCTCGAGCAGTCGCTCGGCGATAGAGAGAGAGAGAGAGAGAGAGAGAGAGAGAGAGAGAGAGAGAGAGAGAGAGAAACAGACAAAGAGAGAGAAAGAGAGGGAACTCATCATTTCGTATATCGTCGTAGGAATTTACCATCAATTTCAGAGCGCCGAATATCACAAGTATTAATATTCTACCCGATGTGCGGAAAAAGAACAATTCAGCACAGCGGATTATTTGGCAGCGCGTGTGAAAGGTACCGAAGGCAAAAAAAAAAAAAAGAAGAAGAAGAAGAAAAACGTCGGTCTCTTTTTTCGCGATGCTCCGACTGCGAAAGCAGTCACTGATTAATGCGAAGTATCAAATTGTCCTTGCTTGCACAACTGTCTGTCTGTACGTCTGTTTCACCGTCAACGAATACCGTTGCGCTTCGTGTCAGGAATAGTACTGCAATTCCAACGGTTCCACGTGGCGCGACACGGTGAAAGTGAAAGTGCAATTTCGGGCTTTTTCTTCATTGGTCGTATCATTTAAATGCGTAACAAAATTGTACATGTAATTCCCTGAAAAGAAGTCTTCCTTTGTATGTCCCTCGTTTTACGAGCCTCATACATGTTTATCGCAATCATTTACGATGCTAAGTTATGCCGCATAACTAATTTGTAATTTAATGTTAATTTAATGTTAATTTGGCGTACATAATTAATTGAGATATAATCGAGATTATATTATTATCATATATTATTCACAAGAATTATTGAATTTTGTGGCGATCGTTATTTGACCACCACTGAACAATACAGCTATAAATATGTATACATATATTAGGTTTATCGGAAAGTTCGTTTCAAATCTTGTAAGTTCAGGACGCAATATTTCGCTCAAAGAGTAACTTTATTGAAATAAATATGTTCATAATATTCAAAAAACGACGTTCAATTGAGTAAAATCAAATTTGTAGATATAATAAAAAAGGGCTAAAAACAACAATAGTTCTTAATTGCTGCTATTTAATCGTCCTTATAACATACAAAAACAAACGTTTCCACCATCGATTAGGTCATTCTCAATATTAAGGGTAAAATTTATAAATAATTATGTGTGTCCTAATAATAACAGATTTAAAATTTCTTCTAACAAAAAGCGTTTAATAAAAGCCGCATATCTAAATTCTACTAATTAATATCAAATTGGGCTTGTGCTCTTAATCTAATGACTTATATTACTTTACTTGAAGTTATATATGTGCTTCAAATTGTAGGAATTTACAAGATCTCGTAGTCACTCCAATCAAGTTGAATACAACGTAAGAGTATAACGTAATTTGCAATTGTCTCGATCAATGTATCCGTCGTGTATAAATGTTTGATAAAATTGCATTTGTGAAAAGCTGTTGAAAAACTGTAAATAAATTATGTATTAATATTATGTAATAAAAGTAAATCGATATAATGGTAAATACCTTGATCGAGTTTCAACGGTATAATATAATTAAAGTTATAAATTATTCTTAATGTCTCGATGTTAGATTAATTTTTAACAGATGCAGTGTTATACGAAAAGAGCTTTCATCTTCCAGAGAAACATTCTATTTTGAACTAATGACAAGATAAAAGAATAACGATTAAATAAAGAGAGTATCCTTTGTAGTGGGGGAGTTCAGGAATGGAAGAAAAAGATAAGGAATAAGGAAAAGTTTAGGTTACAAATATGTTCAATGATCTTGGCCCATCTCTCGGGTAGTTGCACGACACCCTTGCTCCAAAATGAATGTTTCTTATTGGCGAAGAATTGATCGTGGTGAATTCTGAGGGCTCGTGAAATTGAAACGAACTTTCCGAACAATCTAATATGTACACGTATGTACATCTGCAGGCACGTGCCATCAGTATACATAGTTGAAAGTGTTTATGCTGCGCTTGACCCCATTGCGAAAGACGGAAGGCAAATAACCAGTTACGATCGCTCTTGTCTCGACAGACAGAATATAAAGAAATCGATGACTGGGCAGGTTTCAGACGAAAGCAATAAACCGATCTGTCAGTCGGTGGATGTCTTATTAGACAGAATAAGGATACCGTATTTTTCTTATGGTTCGAATACGAACATTGTGTTGAAAACGTGAGAGCATGCGAATGATGATCGACCTCCTGGACCTCTGATCGACGATATAATTTCGAGCGAATGTGCCAAATGGACCGCA